ACAAACATGTACATGTACACATACTGTATCCTTCTACGTGTATGATGAGCTTGAGTCCTCATTCACATTGAATGACCAAGTTTCGTGAGTATAATATTTCAATAATTACCATGGGGAGAAAAGTAATGCTTCATGATGAATATCAAGAATCTTAATTATCTATTCCAAAATGCATGTTATACCGATACATGTACACAGTATAAATTTTTTTCTTCACAACAATATGGTATTGAGTTCACATCATACCGCTACATTACAATTCCATTCAAATAAACTAACAAAAAAAATTTATTGGAAATTCTTTACATGTACATAAATACGTACAACATGTAGGATGGGAATGTAAATGCTATGCACGTGTGCTGTACATTGTACATGTACATGTGTACATGTACATTCACATGCTGTGTGCAACAATAAATGCAAACAATGTATGTGTGATGAAAAAAATGTACGTGCTTCATGCTTGTGATAAATACATTATATTTGTAGGTCTGAATGGAAACTACTAACGGGAATAACGAGTCGAACCTTCTTCTTGTTGCCGTACATCAGTGAAGCCGAGACATTGACGAAAACATGCATCATGGCAACGGGGGAAAACACTGCGGAGAGAGAGAGCACAGACAGCCGGCCTCCGGTGGCTTGTCACTGACGCCAGCCCCACACCTCCACGGTCACGACGACCAGGGATTTAGCCAAACATGGACACAAAGTACGAAACTGGGACGTCAAATCAAAACAAATAACACGCCGACACGACGACTGGATGTCAGCGAGCCGAACAACACACTGGGGTACCGTCAGGCCTGCGATGTGTGTCTTCACAGCAAAACAGGTGGTCCGTACAAAACACACCAGTGTCGTCCCCGTTAGCGCTCGGCGTACACAGTGATCAAAAATTTTTCACTGACGTCGCGATCACAGGCACGCTCGGAACACACACGTGCTATCCTGTATGCTAAGTGTCCGTGCTGTACATGCACTTGATGGTTTGCCCCCACACACGATGAGCAGATGTCTATTTCACACAGAGACTCTCCACACAATCATTATCTTCGCGTGTCAGCTCAAGTCCATCCAAACAGACCACTCCTTCAAATAGGTGTTGCAATGTTTAGCTCCAACTACAAGTAGAACAAGGCCAGGAGAACCTTGTTCCCAAAAGACAACCCAACCCTCTAGCCAATAAAAATATCAGAGTACCGTTTGGGACGGCAAGAGGAAATTCTACTCATCACGTTGAGGATTATTTTCCACCGTGTCCCTGATAAGGCCTGATCATCATGGCGGGATGCGGCCTCTCGCTTGGAGGGAGTTTCTTCTAGGTTAATGAGATGGAGAGTTAATCACCCATATTAAAGAGAGCCTGTTGTTGAACAGAAAAAAAGTCTGATATATTCTAAATATCCGGCGCTTGCTGTAAAGGTGTTTCTGGTGACTTCGTAGCCTGGGGCCTAAATTAATATTAAAGGTACAAATGTACACCTACCGGTACATGCAAAAATTAACATGCAGAAGAAAATGATAAAAAATTCTTGCTATTAATCATTCATATTTTTAATTCGTAGTTTCTGTTTCTATGTGCTTCAGTTGTTTTTAAATTATTATTTACAAAATTATGTATTGTCAAAATTGATTTATTTTTTCCCCAGTGATACATGTACATGTGTGTAAAAGATCCCGGAGTATGTAAATGTATGTATACAACTGTACGTATTTGGCTTTTATTTAAGGTGAGCATCAATTTTTAATTTCTTTTGTATAGCACCAGGGATAACAATATTTGCCAAGTCTTTAAAAACAATCAAGGTGATGTCCTAGGGTACGACGTACCGTACATACAGTACTCCATGGTGTCAAAAAAAATACCCGATGGCACAATTCAAGGCACTCATGGAGGAATCTGCCGACAACAAATCTCTCGTCAATCAGTCGGCAGAAAAAAAAATCATCTTCAAGGGTCTTAAAAGTGCAGGTCCTCACGCCAAAGCCTTAGAGAAGATGCCCCAGTGGTCTGCCAAGTGTCAGCACGCGAGGCGCTCGGCGTTTTGGCTGACCCCGCTGCGCCGCGCATAAAATTCTCTAAACTCCAAATGAGGGAATAAGCACGTCGGGTACAGGTTGCAGCAGGCCCAGGTGTCAAGTACATACACGTACATGTACATCTGACTTGGTGAGAGGACATTTGCGAGTTGCTCCTGATTTCCGATTGCAAGGAGCCAGCAGGAAGTGCTGAGGCTTCTGGGTATGGCTGGATGTCTAGAGGCGATCTATGTAGCCGCGTGACCCAATTTGTTGATATTTCTGTCATAGTACATTGTACATGTACACGCATGTACATGTACATACTGCGTGTTAGTTGAATTTGTCATCTGCATGTAATTGTTAAACATAGAGTAACGTAGATCATTTGCAGCTATCCAAAAAGTCCTTGTGAAAAAATTCTTTCTAGCATGTTAGTCATTTTGAAGAAAACAATAAAAGAAGGACATTTCCAAAGATGAGTCAAGTGGCGCATTTTTTGAAATTTCAGTTAGTTGCTGGTTTGTAATTGTGCGAATCCATGAATGGGTGCGCTCAAGCGTTGACACGACGCACAGCTAGCGCGCAAAGTTGCCATTATTTGTCGGTTCAGTGCGTTTACTTTGCGTAGGAAATTTCCGTTAGTTGTTTGTTTGTAATTGGGCGAATCCGTGAATGGGTGCGTGCAAGCGGGGACACGACGCACACACGCCCGGTTGCCATTATTCATCGGTTCAGTGTGTGACATTGCGTACATGTAGCTGCACTTGGCTGAATGAGAACGTGTTTTGGATGTTGATTTCGGGCGCAAATCATAACGACTAGGCAACTTTTGAATTGAAATCTAGATCCTAGAATGTTGTTTTCAGAATATACCGGTACAGCTTCCACAGAGCTAAAACTTTTCAAATCAGGTTAGTTGTTCAGCACCCGTCTTTAAATTTTGAGCACTTTTGTTGCTTCAAACGTAATGGAATTTGCTTGTCTGGTACGTTTTAAAAAAAACCACTAATTGTACATGTACAGTTTATACATTGTAAACATGTGTTTGAACTTACCACAAACCTTCAACAGAGGGCGCCATTCAGAATTAATAGTCCCACACACTGACTCCCAGAGTTATATTGTGTGTGCTTGCCAAGCCATAATTATCATACCCATAACATGCACAGTCCATGTTTCAAAGGCGGCACAGTGGATTGTTTGAACTTTCTTACGCACGACAATTGCAATTAAGACAAATCTTCCTTTTTTCCTGATTAATCTCTCCATTTGACAGCTTCCAGAAAAATTACATGTAACATGAACAAGTGCACCGGTAGCATGCATGAGTCATTTAGAATTTATCTCGCAAGATATGGACAGGCGCAGTAATTGGCTCCAAGTAAATTGATTCATACGGTCCCATTCACAACACATGTCAGGGATGTTATAAAGTCCGACACGCAGTTAACGGAATTACTACCACCCCACATCGTGCAGGCGTGTCTTACGATGCATACCCCTGTCTGCAATGAAGTCAGTTGCAATAACGCATTTTTTTTTTGTGACTGGGCAAACGGATGTAATCGAGTTAAGAGTTACTGTGAGGTTGTAAGTGTGAGGATTTTCAATGCTACGCTTCATGCTTTGGCCGAGTTAAAAAAATTAACCATTTTCTCGGCCCCACCCGCTTCCTTTTTTTCCCGGCCGCCTCGTTTTTATTTGTTTATTCATACATTTGCAACGTAGTTTGCACGTGTCTTGTTAATGTTTTGTCTTTTCATTATTTCCAACAAAATTGTAGGTACAGGTACCGGTATGTACCGTAGAAAGGGTTATTTGGCTCCTTTGGACACCGAATTTTGTATCAGAAAAATATTCGAGAAAATTGAAAAATGTATTTGCCATCTTGGGCAATCCCTCATCTTGGGGGAAAAAAAACGAGAAAAAAGTGCCCGCCTCCTTCATTTTATTTTCACAAAGGCTGGATGAGAAACTATTAATTTTTTTTACTCAGCCTTAATGAGAAGAACAGTGGTTATGTACAACTGCTACAATATCGATACATGTCATTTCCATGTACATGTATTTCTCCCTGTACATGTGTACCATCTAAACCAACTCAGCACTCCATGGTTTCATGAATTCATCAGGGAACAAATATACAATGTAGTACAATATAATACAATGTAATACATGTATAAATATACAATGTAGTACAATGTAATACAATGTAATACATGTATAAATATACAATGTAATACAATGTAGTACATACATGTACATGTATAAAGTAATACAATGTAATACAGATGCTAGTGGGTTGAACACAAACAATGTGTCACATCTGATTGACTGCACAGTGTGATATTGGCAAAAAAACGGGGCCTCCTTAATAATACAAAACAAGACAAGGCTACTAAAGCTGGTCTTAGAGTGCACAGTATTTTATTTAATTGACTCAGAATGGCTATTCACTGGAAGTCTGTTCATGCATCTGGTCGACACAATGGGCCGGATTTACCCCATTCATTGGCGTCACGGGGTATTCCTATATGATAGCACTGCCCAGCGCATAAGTGACTGTGAATGAGTCAGAAAGTCAGTAAATCAGTCTGTTAGTCATTCAGTCAGTCATTTAAGAGACGGTTATGGGCTCCGTGCACAAGTACCCCCTCAACGGTAAGAAAGGGAAAGTTAGGGGAGACCACTGGGAGAGACATTCGAACGCATCATCGACGACGCCTGACGCTCACGTGAAGACGCTATGGCTTTGTGCACATTCAAAATAAAATCAGTCGAGTGTACTTTGCGTTCTACGCACATGAACCAGAACACGCACATGGTGTGCCCCATCCACTGGGCTCTCAAAAGTGGTCAAACAGCGCCCTCTCTTGTTCTTGCGCAGAGCCCATAGGCTAGCCCTCGATTGTCCAGCAAAATTATCAAGATGCTTGAAATTTATTTAACCGAAACAATTATTTAAATCTTACCTCAACTGGCGACACGGTAGTCTGCGTGACGTAGCTCTGAATGTTCTCCTTGGGTTGAGTCACATTGGAACCAACTACGGGAACCAACCGCGGGGCGCCATCTAAAGCTGGTGGGTCTTCATCCGGATAGTGGTATTGCTGCATTGGAAACAAAAAATTGAAAGAAAATTCCATAATTTGTGAATATAGTTCATGGTGAATTGCAAGCAATCGGTGTTGATGTTTTCCTTCTGCACATATGCACTGCTCGTAGAGGATATGTCGAGATTTCGAAGACAATCCACCTTAATCGGTGTCAAACTCGCCACGGACCGACCCTTACCAAACCGCACGCTGTACTCCTCATATTCCCCTTCTGAGTCTCCTCGGTCACCAGTTTCTTCCACCCGCTACGAAAAAGAAACATCTTCTCGGTCTCCTTTCTCGCGTCTCGGAATTCCAGCGCTCAAATGATTCAACGGGAGCTGTTTCAGCGAATGCCTTCCACGGACGAGGTGAAATATCCCACACATCCTTGGTTTTTTTATGAAATTAACGCTGCGGCACTTTACAGGGGCGACATGTGTTTTACGGTACACATACAGTGTAACTAAAGCGTCCAAGCCCTAAAAGCACCGTAAATTGCTACTGGCCATGCACTCCGCATGATCAATATCAATTTATAGACATAAAGACACTGGTACTGTTTACAAATTTGCCTGAAAATTGTTTTTATTGTAAGGGAGGAAACCTAAAACCATGATTTCAGGTGGGGGGTGAAAAAATAACAAATCTAGACAACAAGATTGAAGAAAATCTGTACAAGCTGTAAACAAATTTAGCATGTAATTTCATTATTTGGAACAATGGGAAAGATTTCACATGTTTCAGAGACACTGTACAAAACCTCACCGTACAGGTACATATACATGTACGGTACATGTGCAACATGAAACATGGCGAATAAAAATACATATTCTTAAATTTTGCATCCCTTCAAAAGTGTTCAAAAATGAAAAAAAATGTTGGAGTGTCATGAACCTCAGATTCAGACTTGTGAAGTCATTAACAAAAATGTAAGCTGAAAAATTGTTTACAAGGGGATGAGATTTCCTCGCCTTCCACTGCTGTGACCCGGGTTCGAATCCCGCCTGGGCCAACATGTGGATTGGGTTTCAGTCCCTGCCAAGATATCATTCTGGGGATTTCCTTCCACCACTAAAACTGTAATTTCTTTCCACGTCTTCTGCTAAGTATTATCCATCCTGTTCTGGCATTTCGCTGTTGGATGTTCTCAAGATAAATAAATAAATAAACAAAATTAATAAATAAATAAATAGATCTGCATTTTTTGCCCACAAACATGTACATGTTTGTGGGCAATCTGTGAATTTTTCTAAAAGAAAAAGTTTTTAAAATGTGCTTTTTACGGTGCATCTTGCAATGAATATCAATGGAAATTGCTCAAGGATTGTGTCGACAAGTCATCTTCATGCTGCATATTGCATTTGTGTGAAGTAGCTACATTTACATGAAACATGAACATTATGAAAACAGAAAATGGATATTTCTGACCTGCATTTTGTCACTGTCATATTGCAATCAATTCAAAGAAAGAGCCTGTCATCATTTGATAATTGTTTTGCCACATTTGTAGTGACCATGATCTGTGTCCATTAGTACTTTGTCGTCACTGAGTCACCCTGACTCATGAAGTGTCACTCGAGAGTAGCGATGGCAACTCATTATGCGCAGAAATTTATGTCAGCATAAATTTTCGTGGCAGAAAGGCACTAAATTTACATGTAGATGAAATGTACTCTGTGTATACTCTGTTCAATTTACAATTTATGTACATGTGGATACCACACCAGTACTGTAACAAATTCAAGGCTACACGAACATGAGATTTTTGGCATAATAAGCACAGACAGATGAGCCCTGCTTCAACTGAATTACAGGCCGCAAATTCAAAACTAGGTCCTTCTTATTGGAAAGTTGTCACTTTAAGATCACTAGTGAATAATTTTTGTATTGCAGGATAATTTTGATCAAAGAACAAATCTTTTTTCGGGATGGGTTCAAACCATAGCAAGGACAGTACAAAACTGTATGTTAATTGTTAGTTAAAAAATGTTTTGGCACCAGAAATGAGAATTCTCAAGCTAAGTACAACTTGGAACCAATTTTTGAGTAATTAAAAAAACTGCGTGGTTCTGTTTACTTACTACCACTGTCTGTTGCCCGGTCGATATGGAAACCCCATTAAGACGGCGGATGATAGCCCGTTAGTGCTCGTTCCAATAACTGTTAGGTGTGCTGTATCTACACAACCTATGATCGATTGGCGTCAGCTCAGCGTAATAAGCAAGCACCTCCAGTATTGATCAACAAACGAGCTGGCCTAATTTACTTTGTGACTTTGCATAATTAATTTGTGGACGAGACACCATTTGGTTTGAGAATTTTATAAACTGTGTGACTCTGAAAGAAGTGCAAAGAAAGATGATTCAAACAAACAAACAGTATTCCTCCTTACTAACAAGAAATTTTTTTTTTTACTTAGCCTAAATAATTTGGGGTGTTTTTTTCAGTGATTTTGATGTCAATGCATCAAATGATGTACATGTACATGTACATTGTACATTGTACATAATGTACGGTACATGTTCACTGCTTGTGTACGTGTACATTGAATACACTAATAATAAATCCTTACATATGGTGAACACATTATTTTGAGCAATCTCTTTCAATAAATCAAAAAGAGTGTCAGATTCTTAATTGGAAAGGCTCCAATTCCTTACACGTATTTTTAGTAAAAAGATGCCCAATTTCGCAGTCCACAAAGACATGAAAGAGAAATTGCATTTGGTTTTGATACATCAAGTGTAATAAACAAACAAAACCCAGATACTCTTTGGAAATGGACAGCTATATATGCAGACGGGAAAGGGAATAAAAAAAGCCTTTCAATTTCTGGTTGCCAAGACGACAGGTCGATTTCTCAATCCCGTGTTCCCTAGGCAGGAGTGCACGGACACTGGATGCATGGTGTGATGTACAATGAATGGAATGCTTAGAATCGCGGGGCAAATAATGCGAGGAATTGTGAATCGCAGCTGACTTAAGCCAGCCAAAAGACAGGAAAGAGGAGTGATTAAAATTACGACGTACAAACGCTTTTTAAAAGCTTTCTGTGTGTGTCTGTTTTGTACGTAAGGAAGCGGGATGGCCTTCCAATGTAAAAATATTGATGTGGAATTGTGGATATAATTTGAGGCACTTACGCATTCGGCCTATTCCTTTGGGGACAAAATGGCATTGCGCTGAAAGAGATACATGAATACATGTGTGTACATGTACATTTACATGTATGTACACTAAAAAGACGTGTCTGTTTGTATGTACATGTACATGTACATGTACACATACCGGTAAAATTTGCGGAAAATAGAAAGTGTGCACTATACTAGGGCCTTCACAGAGGAAGTTTTTAAATCAAAAACGCCTCAGTATCTGCGTAAAAATATCCATCTACTTAATATGCATCTACCGGTTTGTAAACGAATTTAAATTTGATATTCATATATGTAGTTATAGCTTTATTTCTGTACTACATTGTATTTCTGAAATACTTCTATTTGTAAATTATATAAATGTTCGTCAAATGTTTCACCAAATGCACTTTTCCTTACGAGTTTAACTTTACTTTTAATTAACTCTCCAAGGATGATTTACTAGGAACCTTCCTCATCCTTGCAAATTCCAACACCCTGTGCTATTAAACTGTGCACTAAACCCTTGTGTTGGAGTTTGGCTGATTGGGGATCATTAGGGTTAACATTATTTAATAAATTGTAAGGTGTGCAGGGCCCCAATGGAAATCAGTTTTTAAACTGCTTGGGCATACTATGCACTAATGGAATAAATTTTAAAATACAATTATATTCTTCAATTTCTTATGCAAATGTTAAGAGTTTTAAATGTACATATATGCAGTAAAAGTTGCATGCTAATGTACATTACCACGATGTAAATGTACAATTTATGTAAAATGTACATGCAGAGAACCAAGAAGTACATGTACGTACATATACATGTACCTACAGTGTATAGTGATTTATACTGTGGGTTTCGTTAGTGGGTGTGCCACTGGGAATATAGAAAAAAAACGGGGAAATTCCAAACCACACAAGACTTTGTACAGTACTTTTCAATTTGTAATGGCATTCATGAGAAGTAAAAAAACTCAAGAAATCAGCGGATCCGGGGAAAAGTTGCATGCCTGGTACTGAGAGTAAATAGCTACTGGTACATCTAAATGTAAATCATTTGTTATTATCCATTCAGAAATAAAACCAACCAAAGAACTGTAAGTAAAAATGCATACCACCGTTTTCTTCTTGCATCCAAACAGACTGACGACGCATTCACAGGGGAACCAGGCATTGGAAGACGGGTCCGGTGAATGGATCTCATGAGGTGACCGGTGCCTGACGTCATACGCACCCCACATTGTGACCAGTGATTTTCCCCTACCAACACAAAGCGGTGATTACGCACGCTGGCCAACTGACCGCTGACTTGCGTCGGTCAAGTTACAAGAAATGACCGCTGATGACGACAATGTCAAATTTCGGTCTGAATCACACGTAAATGTACGACACGCTGTCCACTTGTCCGTAAGGAAGTGTCACTTAACAGAACTTTGACCTCTCACAGATTTCAAAATTTTCGCGTTGAATCACTCGTCAAAACTACAAGAAATGCATGATCCAGCTCAGTATGATGTCCACAATCAGTACGGACACAAGCAAATTTATTACAAGCTTTGGTACCTCATGCGTTTCAAATTGACGTGCAGTTGGAGTGCTGGCCTTGGCAGATTAAAAGCACACAATTGGTTTTGTGACAACTGCAAGCTGAGCGTGCATACTTGAAGCCCTACGATGGCCAATCTACGAAGATTTCTAGGCAGAGAGACGACCATGTATCCAATTTAATCCATGCAAATTTTGTTGAGACATAAATCCTGTCAGCGGCTTGCGGTTTGCCAATTATGAAGACTGTGGCTGTGGGTAGCTGTTGTCACAGACACTTTATAGATATCAAGTGGATTTAAAATAGCAGTCCACAAATCATTTTCCAGTTTCTTG